CAGCATGCATTATCCTAAGTACTTTATAAAGAGAATTTTCACTTAGTCCTTGCAATACCTCTACGTAGTAGGTACACTACCGGAAAGGAAGCTAAGACAGAGGGGGGCAGGTCAAACTCCAAAACTCATTCTCTTAACTACTCACTCACTTTTCCTGGGTTGTTTCTACTTATCGTCACTCTCATTTTTTATGTAACTATATTACATACTCCTAATTGTCTTTTTGGGGGGCATTAGAATGATAAAAAGAAAAACAAAATCTACATTTAAAAACAAACTATATCCAAATTGCTCGGGAGAGCAATTACTATTACTCTTGAATCTGCTTTTAAAAAGATTGAGAATGGAGCAATTTCAGAAAAAATGACTATCCATAACATGAGAAAAAGTATCATCTACTAATTTCAGTTTTTAAAATGTTTTCATCTGGTATAACATACATTTCATGTACCCATGAATTTACTGTTTCCACAATTAAAAATTACAATTTCAAAAACCCTCAATGGAAGAATCCCTAAAATCTGGACAAACACACAAAAGAAGTATTCCTTCGTTTTCCATTAATTGTTGTGTGTAGGAATTGGCAGAATCACTCCTGAATCGTTTTCACAAATATAACAGGAAAAAGTATTTTACACTCCCACTTACATCTGTAACATTCTTCCCACTCATTTTGTCTTTCCTATTTACCACTTAATGTCCTTACAAATAACTTAAGCATTCATTTTTAACTCCCTGTTTAATTTCCCTCGCTTTTACTCTGTAGACTACAGGAGGTACACATGAAAGAAAATGCTGTAAAGGCCCTCAAGCAGGGACCCCTTTCTCCAGGGCCCACTCGATGGACATGGCACCACATCTCTTACTTCTACAACGAACTCTAGCTAAAAGGACACCCCTATTAACACGCAAACAAGATTTAATTAAAAATATGTCACTTTACCTCACAATGAACCACAGATAATCAATCCTCTTGAAGTCCTATAAATGAATTTACAAGGACCCTCAAGAATAAGTAATGACCAAAGTTGTTCAAGGAGCTCTGGTAGCACAGTGGTTACGAGTCGGGCTGCTAACTGTACAGTCAACAGTTTGAAACCACCAGCGGTTCCGAGAGAGAAAGATGAGGCTTTCTGCTCCCATAAAGACTCACAGTCTCGGAAACCCAATACAGGGTTGCTGGGAGTCGGAACTAACTCCACGGCACATAACCACCACCACCAAAGATGCCAAGGCACTCTGTAAAACACTTTGAATTTAATACTCAGGTCCAGCAATATCTCAACGCACCAAGGAGCTGCATAAGATTCCAGAAGCTGAACCAAGGTATACATTCGCACTTTAAATTAAGATTTAAATGTATTACCTATCACATAGGTTTAAGGGCTGAAAAGAGGCTCCAAATTTTTGGTTAGGATGCTAAACCATTAATATCTAATGGTATTTTGAGAAAGTAAAATTGACATTAAAAACCCTGGCCTTTTCTACTGTGTACATTGATCCAGTTCACTTGTCACGCACAATTTATACTCTCTGCTTTGTACTTTCAAAATGAAAAATAAAATTAGGTATAAAACCAAAGCCAATTCTGACAAGTCCGTTGTAGGGCCACAAAACTGCAACAAGACCACAAGGTTCTTTACCCAATAATACGCCAGATCCTAATACTTAGCCCACCTATCCGGAGTCTGTTCTTTAACTGCATATGTTGTTGTTATGTGCCGTGGATAGAGACCCTGAACAGGGTTTCCAAGGTTGTAAATCTTCACGGGAGCAGAAAGCTTCATCTTTCTCCCGCGGAGCAGCTGGTAGTTTCGAACTGCTGACCTTGTGGTTCACAGCCCGATGTGTAACTACTACACTACCAGAGATATAGCACTAAGTATTTACAAAGCCGTAAAAAGAACATGCTCACTGAGCAATTAAGGTAACATACCTTAATATTCTATCACTCAGGTTATTAAAAATGGGATTATCCAAGCTCTTACCTGTTACTTCTCTTCTGGTCAAAATTGTTACAATATAAATGGTTTTCATGATGCTTTGGGGAGGGGAGGGGAGGCCAGAAAGTTATTTCATTTAACAAATAATTTGCTTTGCCTAACCATACCAAACATTTTTTTAATGTAAATATTGAAACAGGAGCACATAGGTACAAAAGCTAAAACAAAAGTCTCTTTTCCTCCTCATCCCAATGAGTAACAGTTGAATTGAATTCAAGTTACTTGAATCAACCTCGAATCTTCATTATTAAATGTCATTTTCAGTGTGCAGCATTATCTAACCAAAGAGCTTAGATATTCAGAAGCTGGGAATTTAATATTAATTTGCTCAATTTTTATTCTGTATCAGTACCTCAACAAGAGCTTACAAATTCCTAAATCGGGAATTCATTCATTTGTTTGCAACCCTTTAGCATGTCATTCCAATTGCATTCCAATCTTCTTTCCTATAAAAGTGGTGTTCTCAACACTCCTAAATTATAAAACTTGCAAGCCACATTTACTTTAAAACAAAACAAAACAAGTTTCTGGGGACTAAAATTGCTGCCTTATTTTAACCAGTTATAGATAAAAATCAGTTAGGGCCAAAGAACAACTTTCCTTCAAACTTATGAAAAACCCAAATGACAACTCAAAAGTCAAAATGTTGAAGTTGTAAGTTAGAAATTTAAAGTTGTAAAAAGTAAAATACCTCCATTCAATGTTACCTGCAAACTTACACTACAAACTGCTGGAAGCAGAAACTGTAATGTAATGTAATGTTCTACCAGTATTTTCTTTATATTCAGTTCTCAAAAAAAACAAAACAAAACAACCCAACAACAACAAAAAAATCCCCCACAATTAGTTAGGATTAAAAATTGTATCCCAAAGAATTCCTGGAATAGAATCTTGAGAACAGAGAAAAAAAATCATACTCTCACCACCAAATTTAAAGGAAAAGTAGTAAGATAAACTCTTAGTCTTAAAGTGACTTAATTAAATCTCAATGTTAAAGGTTTATTATTAAAAAATTAAAAGCCACTTGGTATACTTAGGACTCCTATAGTCCAAGCAGCAAGAGTTTTTGTGCTTTAGCCAGGTGCCACTAGCAAAATGAGTAAAAGAAATCCAAGGACCCCATGTAGGGAGAACACCACAAACCACCTGAACAAAATCAAGTGTTTGGAATATAGCCTTCCTTTAAAGGCTAGCATTTACTCTAAGCCTGCCCAAGCAGCTCACATCAGGACTCATCAAAATAAAGTTTCCCCTCCACTATCGGAAAGACATTTAGCCAACCCCAATGTAGAATCCATCACTTTACAGAAACACTACAGAAACAGCACAAAAATCTACACTTGAAAACGTGTCTAAAAGACCCTTCTGAATGACACTCACTAGTAAGTGCAAAGATATACAATTCTCAGGGTGTATGTATAGCCTGATGGAACACATTAAAAAAAAAAAAAAAAAAGGCAAAACCACTAAAAAGAAAAGAAAAAAATCCCCGAAGACCACAGAAACTTCAAGAAATAAGAACAGATCAAAGTTCATGCAGAATTTAACCCATTTCACAAGTCTTAGAGCAATTCTGCCTGATTCCTACTTAAAAATATATCAATTGGGGTGGGAGCAGGGGTGGAGGCAGGTTATCTTCAACTTAGACATCTTTTTCCACAAAGAAATTCAAGGCATTTGCCACTTCTCACATTTTCACCCTTTAGAAACCTGTTCTAGAAGTTCTCTACATACTCCAAGGGTACATTTAACTCCATTATGCGCTCCCACTGGCAGATGGAGGGATGACGTTGGGCCTGTTCTGGGGAGTTTTAAAAGAGATGCTCAGTAGTAAAGGGAACATCTTGGGGACTGTCAGATGGCCAGCCATTCTTCCTCTTCATTATCCCAGCATCTCGAAAAACTACAGTGAACAAGGAGGTCGGTGGCCATTGGGAGAACACCATGGACCTAAGTCCCCTTCTTTCAAGTCTCCCAGCATTTCGCCTGACAAAAGGACTAGTCCACAATTGAGTGGAGTAAGGAATTTGTGTAGCTTTCACACTAAAATCTCTATCTCCTGATTTGCTTAAAAGGTAAAAAACAAAACCAAAAAAATCCTACACACATGCCCAATAACCATTTTTTTCTAACTTTTGTACCATCAGTTCATGTTTGTTGCAGATTGGGACTGTTCCAACTTCTATTCTTGATTTCCAGGTACATTACTCCACAAAACCGTTGATTTCTTCTTTTCCCCCAGCCAAAAAGAGAAAGTGAATACAATTCGCAAAAATCTGTGTCCCTCCCAACCTGAAAACCCAGAATTCCAGACATTTTAGTCTTGCAGCAAAAAAATGGGAGATGCAAAATGAACTGCGCTCCATATTGATTCTTAAAAGCAAATAAAAAAAGAAAAAGGCTAAGAAGAGTAGGCAAGAGGCAAATTTTATTAAAGCTCACGTCTAGCCTGCCCACAAAATTATAATGAAATGAAACCACGATTTAAAAATAAAAAAATTTTTACGCCTTAATCCTCCGCAGAAAATCTTTGTGCAAAAAGAGATCTTGAAGAGGAGTGGAAAGTAGAGGAAACAGAACAGAGTGCACCCCAAGAGAAAAGGCCAGCATTCGCGATTCCTCCCCTTCATCACCCACCCCCCACAAAAGAAAAGTCAAAAAAATTGCACCCAAAGCTCTTGCACAGCCAGGCAGTGGCATTTCTGCCCCCAATTACACGGCCTGGGCGCCACAATAAAGGCCAGGTCTGCACGGCACCCACTTCCGAGCCCTAATTCCAGAACACACTTAGCTATGACAAGGGTGTTGCAACGAAAAGCTTAGCAGGCAAAGAAAATGGTAGGGCTCCTGGCCGCCTCCGACCAGCTCATTCAGACGCCCGGAGCAGGCAGGCCAGCGAGGAGAGGTCGGGACCCCGGAGGGGAGAACAGGCAACATGCAGGAAGAAAGGTGCCCGGAGCAGACACGGCGAAGGGGGCCGGGGCAGGCCGGACTAACCTGTGCCGTCGCTGGCCGACGCCGAGAGGGCCGGAGACGAGAGTTTAGGCCGCTTGGCTGAAGGCGGCCCCGGTTCCACCACATTCTCGGCCATTTTTAATTCTTTCGAAGATACAGGCGAGGAAACGGCGAAGACTCCGGCAAGCTCTTCGGCGGCCCAGGGCCCCCGGCCCGCTTCCCTGGGGTGGGCTTGGGGGGCTCGGCCAGCACCCGAGGGGGTAGGGGGGGGAAGTTCCTTTTTCGCGTCGCCGGGTCGCGGCGGCTCAAGAGGGAGGTGGACTCGACAGAAAAGGTAGGGACAAGTGCGAGGGGCCGGACCTGGGCCCAGCCCGGAGGAGGGCGCAGAGCCCAAAGGTGCCGACCGCGTCCGCCGCGGCGAGTTCGCGAGAACTCGCGGCTCTAGAGGCGCAGTCCCCGGCCCGCCGCGGCCGGCCCCTGCCCAGCCGAGGTCTCTCGGAGCGCCGCCGCCATCAGCCTCTTCCTCCTCGGCGCTGTCCTCCTCCTTCTCATCGCCACAAGGAGGCGGGGGCGAAAAGGGGGGAGAGGAGGAGGCGACGAGAGACACTCACCTCCTCCCGGTGCCCCCTCCCGGGCCTGCGCCCCCACCCTCCGAGCCCTCCTCCTGCCGCTGCGCTCCGCGCCGCCGCCGCACCGGCCCCTAATGGCCGCACAGAGCCCGCCCGAGCAGAGAGCCAGGCTGGCGCCACCGCCTCACATCGCGCGGCAGCGCTGGTGGCCGGGCTGCGGAGGCGCAGAG